TTTGCATGATAGCAGTGAACTATTTCTTTCTTCGAATAATCCAAAGGGTGCTTTTAGGCAACCCGCTTTCCTCCATTTCTGCCGAAATGTTTATGGAACGTTACGACTCTATGGCCCGGAACACCAAGCCCAACTTGGTTTCCAAAGTTTCTAAAAGGTGTCGATGATATTTTTGTCATCCGTTCCAATGGAAATCAAAATAGAGTGCTAAACATTTTTAATGCTGTTTTCCTTCAAAATATAGAGCCATCCGCTGAAAAGGAAAATAACTAAAGTCTACCCTTTCTGGATGTGTTAAAAATCAACCCTGGTAGTTTCAATGAAACTTGAATTCATCGCATTTCCAAAAATCGTGGTGAATACTTTAAGTTTAACTCACCCAAACAGCCAAATAACAAAGATGTGAGATTATTGCTTTAACAGACGAGCCCTTAAATTATAATAGTAAATTTTTCAAAGAAGATATTAAAAATATAGAGACAACCTTGTGTGATAGAAATAATTATCCTGTTAATTTTGTTCATAATGCCGCAAATCGTAAAATCAGTAATTTTTGATCTACCTGCAATATCGATGATCCGAGAAGGAACATTTCGAATAATAAACCTCATTTAATTCTACCGTAACTTAAACATTTTAGTAAAAATTTACGAAAGCTACGCAAACCCAAATACATTATTAATGGTAATATGAAGGCTCCAATGAACGCAATACTTTATTAACTATGTCTGAAAATTGTGGCTCTTTAGGTTAAATTGAAAAATTATCTTGCGAGTGCGGGGATTAGCACATCGAAGAAACGGAAATATCGTCTCCCAAAGAACAGCGGACCACCTGACAAACTGGAGAAGATCGATGACCAGAACAACCTCAAGGATCAGGCATCAGTGCGGCAGGAAACGGCCAAGTCCCTCAATGGTCAGATTGTGCTGGCATCGTTAAAGAAAGAAGCTGGTTGAGCAGACTAATCAAAAAACCTTAATTATTCAATCCTACGAATGTGCCAACCGGGACAAAGGATACCGAAAGAGAAGCGGGGTCAAGTCGGCGGTGAGTCAAAAAACTACTTAACCGGCATCATCAGCCAGATGCACACATTCGGCTTC